ATCTATATCATTGGGCTAATAGAAAAGGTTTGATAACATATTGGCTGACATATATGATAGACAAGTTTGAAGTTATTTAAAGAAAATGATTCAGAAATTTCACCGAAAATTTTCAGACCTAATATAGCTAATTCATATCTAGGATTAATGTTGAATTTGGATTAGTTTCAATTCTTTGATGGAACAATCCATAGTACTAGGTATTATATGCCATAATTTGTAATCTTTTAAGAGACATTCAATTTAAGCGTGAAAATTTACTAATTCTTGGAATTTTGCCTGGCCCAAATGAAGTGAGTTTACACAAAATAAACCATTATTTAGCACTAATTGTTGACGAATTAGAGTTACTTTAGAATAGTGTGACTCTAAATTGAACATACAAATGTCAAGAAGAAAAGAGAATTCATGCAGCATTAATCCTTATTTCATGTGATATTCTCGCAGCAAGAAACTTTGCAGTCATGTTTCGGCATTGGTGTTATGTCATAGGTGCGAAAAGAAGGCAAATTATGAAAATCAGTAACATAATTTTGCTGGAATGATTAACATAAACGAATAGTTTACTTCCCAGGATTTATCATAATATCAAGAGAATGCACTTGGCTGGTGAAGGTGTAATTCAGACGCTAACAGAAAGCGATTTGTAAAGAATACTGGTGTTAGATGGTCTGAATTACTTCAGTTATCATACTTTAATCCAATTCGATTTTTAACGGTCGACCCAATACATTGTCTATTTTTAGGCATAGCGAAATGATAGTTAAACAAATTTGGGTTAATGAAAAAGTTTATCTTCAGATGCTCTTAAAAGTATCTAAAAGAATATGAATCAAATTCAAGTTCCAGCAGATTTGGGTAGAATCCTTTGAAAAATCGACTGTGAAGAAGATTTTTCCAACTTCATAGCAGATCAATGGTGAATATTTTATACAATTTATGTAATTACATTACTTTGGGAATATCTATCAGTAATTGACTGAATGATTCTAATACATTTTGTTAGAGTTTGTTTGATTTTGGTAGATCAAATTCTGGAACTCGATTCGATATAAGAAGCTCACGAAAGGTTGATTAAAATAGTAAAACTTATTGAGAAGCATTATGAGCGTGATAAAATAACACTGAATCTCCACCTTTCATTCCATTTATGAGAATGCTCATACGATTTTAGCCCTTTATACACTTTCTGATGTTTCTCATTTGAACATATGAATAGTATACTCGGTAATTATAGCTTCTTTTTCTTTTGCCAATTTATATAATGAAATGTGCAAGTAAATAATGAAATATGTTAATAATATTTAGGTTTATTACTGAGTAGCCATAGACAAATTAAGCCAGAAATAATGCGTAGATTAATAAATAATAATTGTATTAGAGAAATCAGTAGTTCAGTAAATATTCGAACAAAAGGTTTAGATTTGCTTGATAATCAAACTGTAGTTGGTTTATTATTAGAAGATGATGAATATTCATCAGATAAAATGGAGCGATTTTGGTTTAATTTGAGAATCATACGGAAATCAATCATTATTAGATATGAACCATTTCCTGGAGAAATGCTAAGTCCTAAATTCAATGTGATATTGTCTAAGATGATGCTTGATTTAATGGTTGTATACTACACAGCAATATATGAAACATACAATTTTAAGGCACCATTCAATATTGGATCTGAAGATTCAATCATACTTAGTCATGTTATAATAAATAAATTCAGTCGGTGTAGAATTAGTTCAGAGGTATTTGCCTCAGCAATATCATCTCGTCATGTGAAAAGTTCGTTTATTTTAGCGAATTTTATAACATTAGATAATTAGATTGACTGTTATGCTGGTCAAATCCAGTATTTTTTAAGCATATAATCAATTTTGAGGATTGACCGGCAGAACATAATTTGGCATTTATTCGGTGGTATAAGCTGACAGAAACATATAAACTTTAATATTATTTTAGTATTGATGATGATGAAAAAACTTGTAATGTTGAACTATGGAAAAATAAATTTTTTCCTGATGGTCGTGATAGTATTATTCTGATATAATACATTCTTTGTCGATTTGTATTAGCAAAATATAAAATTTCTACTCGTCTAAATGCCATTGAATATATAGCCATAAATCTGATAAATCGTAAATTCCATATTCATTAACTTTATTTTGTAATATAAATTTTTCATAATAAACCAAAACCGGACTGATATAATGCTGAATTAGATACAATGTAACAAACACAAACAACAGTCAATTTGTTATAATTTTCATGTCATATAACTGAAATTTTGTCGTATTGAATTATCTGAATATTTTCTGAAAGGTCTTAGTATCGAAAAAATGCTAAATTATGTATGATGTAACAAACGACAATAGATTTGTTATAATTTTTATACTGAATTTTAAACACAAGCTGGATTTTTGTCAAAAGTATGACTGAATTGGCTGAATATTTACGAAAGATCATAATGCTAAATTATGTACGAAGTAACAAATGACTATTGATTTTTGTAACGCAAGCCAAATTTTGTCGAATCACATGACTGAATTGACTGAATGTTAACCAAAAATTATTAGTGCCAAAAGAAATGATTTCGACTAGTATTATCTCTATCAAAAATGAATGTAATACATTCTTTCACCTGTTAGATCCCTCTTCAAAAAGAAACTTCATTTCTCTTCTAATCTTCCTATGATTCTTTTATATCTTAAATATTTTTACAATATTACCAATCTTATAATCCCAATCAATCTCTATCACTATTTTAAATCAATTAATAATAACTCCTTATTCAAGAACATCTCAATTATTAGACTTTTCTAATAACAATCAAATAATATGCTTACCTCTTCTCCTTTGCATTACTGGTATTATATATTTGACAAAAAATCATATAAAAATCTAATTAGTGCTTCTCTTAATCTAATAAATCATTGCTCCCGTAAGTTTTTTAGCCTATGCTCTCCTATACTCAATAATCAGGTTATTGGTAAAAATTTTCAATTTATAAAATCCTCCTATAAAAGGTTTTCACTTATCATTCTATAATACTAAAAAACCATAATTTTTTTTTATTTAAATCAACTAATTTTCAGTACAGGATGCCATTTTATCACCTGGTCCAAACCTTTTATACTTAATTGCTAAGAGTTAACTAAAGATGGTTCCCATAATTATTTTTAAAATTTTAACTAGTTGCAACTTAAGTTGCAACACTTTGAGTTGCAACATTTTATGAATTTTTATATTAAAATAAATTTACAAGAAGTTGCAACCAAGTTGCAACTTACCGAGTTGCAACTTCTTAATTATGGTGCTCATCTTTAGAGTTAACATTAATATTGGTAAGTTAGGGTTAGATTAGGGTTAGATTAGATCTGTTTAGTATAACAAAAATATACTCAAAACCATTTCATATGATATATTATACTCATTTGATCGACTATACTCTACTACTTTCTGTATCATTCTGAAAAATCGTATATGTATAATTTTTAAAGTATACATATATAATACTTATCTAAAAATAAAGAACTATATTATGTATATGGAAGCTTGTCAATAGAAAGGGGAAAATCTAAAAAAAAAGTTTTTATGAGTTAAAGTTAAACCTGGATTTATTTTACTAAAAAAATCATATTTAGCATATTGATTAATATTACTATTTTAATTTTTCTTAATTTTTTTATTCTAATTCTAACTAATTTAATTTCACATAAAGATTAAATTTGGCTAATACTATAAATAACTTAAATAATAAGGTCATTTAAAAGTCATTTAAAGATCATTTTAAAATAGTCAAATGATCTGATTACTGGTTAGAATTGCATTTTTCTTTATATTTTGTATCTTTGTATTTACAATTCCCAATTAGAAAATTTCATAGAGATGGCTAAATAATTGCTTTCTTATTTTTAAAATACAAAAAAAAAATAAGATTAACATAACATCCATTAATCTGTTTCCTTTGGCAAATTGTTCATTGATAGCCTTAATAATGGTTTTTGGATAGTGATAGCGCATAATTGAAACTAATGCTTCTTCTTCTACTGAGCAATCCAACCCTAATGTTCTCTTGGAAACTATCATAGCTAAACTTATAGAAACACCTAACAACTAACATCTAAAGTATATTTATACCAACAAAGAAGATAAAATAAATATTATCTCTAATGATTTTATCATTATTACTTATTCTACACCCTTTGCTAATTTGACTGAAACCTATTTTGTTTATAAATAAAAGAATTTTTTTGTTTTTTCTTATATTGTCAGTTTTGTAAGGATTATTTATAAACTGTTTCTGAGTTTTTTTTTTTTTTATTTTCTAAAGAAAGAAGAGTTTACTTTCATTTCACTATTTATTTATAATTATGTCATATCGATCAACTTTGCCACATGATAAGCGAAAGGTATATGTAATTTCAATTCAATAATTTTATTTTAATTTGATTTAACTAATCTTAAGTTCTTTATAATTGATGAAATAAATTAAAATTAAAATAAAAAATAAAAATCTCTATAAATAATCTATAGATGAAATCATATACCGATTTTTTTAATAATCCAATCCTTTAATTTTTACATAACAATTTCTTTTTTTAAAAAAAAAAAATACCCTCTGAAATACCAAGAACCTAATATTTATATCTTACATAAAATCCAAATCATAGAAATCGAGTGTAAATAAAGTAGTTAAAGCGCATATAAAAATGGATGTTTCTAAACCAAGTCCAAATGAATAAATAGATGAAAAAGATGATAAGAGTATGTACATAAACATATAATGAGTAATGGACAAAATCATAATAATAATAAAACCAAAACAAATATAGATAATTTTTTACTGTCCTCCTTCCCTCAAATAAATAAAATTTATAATGTATGTTGCATATGAATAAAAAAAAAATAAAAAAATGTTCAATAAAAAATAAAAAAATAAAAAACAGATATATCTTGCTAAAAGAAATTAATATAAAGTAGAAACGTAACATTATAAAATGTTACCATTGCTGCTGTTGAACCCACACATGATTTGATGTGGATGTGGATGAATTTGAAAATGGTTGAGAATGACTTGTCGATTGAATTAGCATTGGGTGATGAGGATGAGGTTGAACCATTATTTGATGTGTTGAATGATCATTGTCAATGTTATTTCCGTTAACGTTAATATTTGTCCCATCTACGACATTTTGTCCCAAAGCTCCTAGACCCTGAACGGCATTACTATTTATCATGTCATGACTACCGTTTATCAAAAGATTGGAAGTATTTTGATCATCATTCATAGGATAAGATAAATAATTAGAAGACTGATCCTGATGAATCGATGTAGGGTTTCCATTAGAACCCGGAGGAGAATTTGGATGATTCGGAGATGTAGAATTTCCAATCACTGATGCGCTCGTAGTTTGATTTTGATTTATTGTAGAAGAGGAAGGGGATGAAACGGTTGTTGGGATTTGATGATGTGAATTCTCAACTCCGACCACATCCCATTCTCCCAAATAAATTTGATTATTTTGTGTAAATTCCATCATATTGGGATTGAAATTATTAGTACTATAGTAACCAGAAGATGGAACAACCGGTGGCTCAGCAAGTGATGCAACTCGACTCAAAACCATTGGGGGAGGTATCCCCATAAAATGATGATTTGTCGCTAAATCACCATTTTGTAGTTGTTGTTGTTGTTGCCGTTGTATTCTAACGTGTGCCTGCATGTTTTGATGGGTCTGTTGTCGCTGATAATGAAGATGTTGCTGAGGAAAAAGGGGAGGTTCAGGAGTAAGCTTAAATTTAATATTCTGAAAGGAGAATCAGTAACCATTGAATTTCTTGAATGAAAATTACGTACTTCGATACTTAAAGGTTTACGTGGTCCTAGGGATGAAGAAGTAGAAGACGGTTGTTGTTGTTGTGTTCGATTTAATAAAATTGGAGATTTCTCAGTTTTAATAACGGAAAGTGAAGTCGACTTAATTGAATTACCATCTGCAGAATCCTGTTGATATGATGATGAATGAGAAGTTGGTATTGTTTTAACTTGATTGTTTTTATCACTATTATTTCCTCCTTTATTGTTATTTTTATTATTATGATAATCATAATCATCACCATTTTCGCCACTCCTATTTGACCCACCATCACCACTACCCCCACCACTATTCCTGTTATTATGACGAATAAGTATCTGAGATTCAGAATCATCTTGTATTTTGGAAAGCTGCACCTGATAAAGATATTCCAGCATATTTATAGCATCATCCACACCACAATGGCCTTGTCCCAATCTTACTCCCTTGGCAATTTTTCGAAGAGACTCGAGTGATTTTTCCATATATTTTTGTCCAATACGAGAATAATCAGGATCTCCAACATTCAAAGCGTGCATTGTCGCTGATTGTACTAAACAATATGCAGACGCGCTGAACGTATAATATATTCCTTGAGAATCAACCGGTATATAATTTGAAAGTATTGTGATATTTATCGCAGCTTTGTTACATATATCACGGGAATCAAAATTTGGGTATTCATCCGAATCTATATAAGGTCGATGAAGTGAAATTACTACTGTGTTGTACATTTGATTCAAATATGAACAAAATACCGATATAGAGTCTGGATCAGGATAACCAAGAGATGGAGGGTTATATTGTAAATGCGGAGGCAATGCTAATATCCATGAGTTCAAGGCTGCATCGATAGCAGGTAAAGTATTCCTTAATGCGCCTGGTTGTGAAAAATATGATTTTGACTGTAATACATTTCCATAAATTTTCATTAATTTGGAATAGTGCATATAATTCACAACATCCTGAGCTTCATCTCCATCATCTTCAATCTCATATGGAAATTTAGTATTATAATCATATATTGGAAATGGTTTGCTATTAAATTTTTTTTTTAAAAGAAAAAAAAATCAGATCAAAATCAACATCAACTACCGATCAAATTTGAAATAAAAATCATTATATTAATTCCTACCCAAATGACGCGCATACTAAAATTTCGGCATTCATAACAGCCCAAAATACTCTCGTCCGTATGGCCTTTTCAACTTTACTAATATCCCATTTCGAAGAGTCGCGATTTAAACCCAAATCAATACTCATTCTCATTGTCATTCCTATTAGCATCCAAATTCGAGTTGAATTTTGAGTCTAACATTTTTTTTACATATTCAAATAATACAATGAAGGATTTTAAATTATCATCAAGACAAAAATTTTTCTTGTAAAACAAATTTTTTTAAGAATTTACCGATTTAACACAGAATTGTATCATGAATAATAAAGCCTAAACAATTTTCCAAGACCATAATTAGCATATATTCAAAAAAAAAAAAGACAAACAAAACCAAAAATGAACTCAAACAAGGGATCAAATTTGATCGTACCTGAACGGTTGAAAGACGTCCCCTGTCCATAAAATCATCCAACAACGCTGAAAGATACAAAGTGAGTGTTAATAAATTGATATAATTAACAAGTGTGAATATATCAACATACATAAAGCACGGATCCAAAAAATGTCACCGGCCGTCCCTGGATCATCTGGATCAGTTCGAGTTCTCTTATCATCAGAAAAGATACTAGCAACCGCAAATATGGCATTTAAAAGCAATAATGAAGGCTGATTATTTTTATCTCTCAACTGCTTAATGAAAGTAGGTTTATGTATAATTGGACCTCTGGATGAATATCCATTATTAAAATACGTTTGTATCAAATGATCATATAAATCTTTTTGTGGTAATTCCTTTGAGCCTTTGTACACTTTTGGAAGTGGTGGTTCCAAAATTTGAATTTTCTTCGAGTCCTTTGAGGAACTTTGTAAATCTTCCATAGAACCTTTAGATGAAAGGTTTAAATCTAATCTGACATCTGATACCTCTTTTTTCTTTGGAGTAACGTATCTAGTATTTGATTTCAATGTTGTTGGTGACAGTGAATCAGATAATACCTGTTTAGTATCAGGACCTTCTTTTATTCTTAAAGATTTTGCCATATTAACGATATCATGTACATCTAATTCAGGATCATCGAGAATATTTTTTGTTACAGAAACTTTACTAAATTGTTGTTGAGTGTCTACCCCCTCAAGATACTTTGACAACACTTGCTCAATCTAATGAATCGATTCATTCATATAAAAAAGGTACGATTAATATTACCAATTGAATGAATTAAAGATCATAATATGATACCTATACCTTAATGATATATTACTCACCTTATTCAACCTGTCATCAATTGTTTCGACATATCCACGTTTACTTCCAGGATGACTATAACTACATTCACCGTTAACAGATTTACAATTACCACAGATTGGGTAGTCTCCATCGCATTTAACGTGTCTTTTTCTGCATCGATCACATGCATGACTGGATTATAAAAAAAAAAAGTTAATCAAAGATCCGAGAAGCGGTTAAATAAGTGTATTTATTCCGAAAAAACGGAATTTATCGGAAAAAAAATTTAGCGATTGCCGAAAAAAAAATAATCAAATGGGATAATATCCTCGGCAATAGAAGTTCATAGAACTTACACACGAATCTATAAACATAAATTCGAGATATATTTTAAGCTAAGCCACTGATACGAAAATCGTGAAATGTACCTTAGTCTTGCTCGTTTTTCTCTTTCGTTAGACATACCCTAAAGTTTACTGTTGAAAATTGGATATTTTTTTAAAAGCCCGAGGGAATGGAAGGGAAAAAAATTAAGGACGAAAGAAACTGTGGTGGAAAAAAAAAGGAAAGGAAAGTAGATAGAGTTCTTTGAGTTTCTTTTATATATTTGTATGTATTATTATTTAATATTTAATCATAAGTATAAAAAAGAAACAAATAAACATTAATACAAACAAAAAAGGGTTTTTATGTTATGTATGTAAATAATAAAATAATATATATTTATATATATATTATACAATACAAAAAAATACAAGTTTTTTGATGTGAAATCGAAAAAAATTTTTTTTTATATGGAGAACCTTTTTTAATTTTCCAACTTCAAAAAATTGAAACTGTAAACTGTAATTGGGTATTGCGTCACCACGAAATATAAAATTTAGAATACTTTAAATGATCTTGAGAAGTAAAAAAGAGTCTAAAACGAAGGGGTGAATAAAAAGAATCTTAAAAAAATATATAATTATTTTTTTAAAAGAGAGAAATTTAAAAAAAAAAAATAAAAAATGGAGAGTAAAAAGAACGAATACAACTTCTTGAGAATTTCTATATATAATTTTTTACTTACCTATAATTTGTTTATCTTTTCGTATAACATTTTTAAAGAATATAGAGTCAGACATATATAGATAATTATAGATTTTTTAATTTCAAGAACCAGTAATTTGACAAGATTTAGGAAAGAAAAAAAAAAAAATAGGAAAAAGTTTGGATGGAAGATTTTCAAAAACACGTTCACATCAACTTACATATTTGTAAAGGATTTGCTGCGATTGCAGAACGGATGGGATGGTCTGTGTGAAATATGTATATCAGTTGGATGAGAGAAAAGAAATGTGAATTCAAAGAGTAATAACTAATCTAATGAACCTTATGGAAGGTGATATTCAGATAAAAAAGAAACCCATAAAAAACACGCTTTTGTGTTAAGCATATAAAATCATCGAATTATATTAAAATGATTCTCAGTTTTCCACATTAGTATTAGTATACAAATAGTACCATTTATATAATAAGCATGTCATGTTTTATTTTTAACCTTGTATTACACAAGACATTCGTGCTTTAAAAAAAAAGAAATCTTTGGAGATAAATACAGCACATCCATCATATGGTGGCGTTTTACAAAAAACATTCGGCAAAGGAGAAATATTTGGCCGTCTTCATAAATACAAGCACCATAAAAGGAAATTCAAACTTTCGCTACGACCATTCGAAATTCTCCGTATGTGCATTTCTTTCTTATTTGAAATTATGATATATAAACAAATTCTCATGATTTAGGTTTAGTAATTATTATAATTATAGTAACATAAACAAAACTTAAAAAAAAGAATCGACTTGAAAAAGAATTATAGAAACTATTTGATTTATAAAAAAGCTGTATAACAAACATAATTCACACACGCTTATTGATGGTTTATATATTAAATTTTATGCATATGTTGATGCAAAATACGATCAGTTCCGTGTTCCCATAAAAAAATCCTGAAAATCTACCGGTCTTTTACACGAGAGAAGTCGTTACACTTCATAAAAAAAAGAATTCAAAACATATCAAAAAAAAACCTGTAATGTTTCTTGAAATCTTTCCAATGAAAATGTCTACCAGCTTTAATTTAATAGATTTCTAGTCGCATTCAACGTTTTGCCCTTATTTGTAAATGTGTACCTCATAAATACCTTTAGATTCATTCTCTAATAACGGAATAAAGAAGGATAAGAACCGATTTACTCAGAGAAAATAAATTTGAAAGTATGCGTGTTGTCTGTTGTCACACTTGTACAAAGTATCAGCCAAAAATTCTTTTCCAATGATCAATTTGAAAGATGAGAAAAGAAAGAAAAAAATTTCGGGTGTTTCGGCAATAACAAATGTACAAAATAATATTAAATTAAACAAATTAAATGATATCATTGTGATCTTTTGAACGACAAGCAACCTGTCATTTTAGTAACAATGGTCGGTTTCATAATTATCATTTGATGATTTCCTTGATATCTCAGTTATTTAAAAAAGAAGATTATTACAAGAAACATTTCGGTTAAGCACAAAAACAAAAAATAAATCAGCCACTATTAAAAATATAATGACGATCTTATTTTTTTTCGTTCGGGGAGGAAATTTCTTTGTTTTATAATAACAATAAACTAATATCAATCAAATACAATGATGAGATCCATCGCTACGTCTACCTGCGCCATCTTAAAAAATTTTTTTTCCCGTAAAATAATGAAACTTTATACGGAAAGCCGATGTTTACGTTACTCTTTACGCCTATGATTTTAAGTGAATTGATAATAATAATTTAATACTTTCACAAGGGAAAAGAATGATTAAATGGCGTTTTTCGTGTAATTTCTTTTATGTGGATGCTATAAATATGTTTCAGCTATTTTTAAAACTAACAGGTTAATCTCCTGTCGGATAGCTTAAACAAAATATGATTCGTTCTACTCAAACAAATAATCTAAGAATTCCTCGATTCTCACAAATATGTTCTCAAGCGAAATTTGTTAAATTTGTTACACCATCAAATATATTATGGATATATAAATCTTCGATTCTCTGAATTCTCTGAGTCATAATATAACATTGTAAATCTTGTTTAATCATTTGGTTTGGCTTGGCATTTTTACAACTCCTTTGTACGTTAAACTAATTGATAATAATGCAAAGGAAAAGGTAACAGAAAATTCTGTTAATCCTTATCTACATGCATAAATATGAAAATCCACCCTTACTTACTTTTAATTACTATCAGTCGCGTCTAAAATTCGATGATTCTACTTTTCGAATCAAATTAAGTTAAATTCAAAAAAAAAAAAATCCTTTTTAATTGTCAAATGATTGAAAGTGTCTAAGAGATCCGATGGTCCATCAATCGAAGATCTTTGATTTTAAATTATTTATTTCGGTTGCAAAAAAAAAAATTATATTATTTATATTATGTAAGATGTGAAGTTTATACCATCTAGGATTATCTTCTAAAAAAAAAAACGTAAACAAGGCTTATTATTTGATACTAAAAAACTTACTTTTTTTGGCAATATTTATTTTTTATTTTTTCATCGCGTTTCAGATCTTCCCACGTGATCTTATATATTAGCTAAATGGTAGCGGATATGACAAATAATAGGTGACAATTAGTATTTTTCCCCCATAATAATTATAAAATGAAGGATGTGATGCCATGTGACAAATACCCTAACACTAATCCCCTTACCCTAATCCTAATCCTTACTCTAATCAAATAAATCCGGCTACCATTTTTTCATGGCGTGCGCTTTGTAGGTAAAGTTCTAAATTTAGAAATCGTGACATGTTTCACCAAGTTTTTTAGAACTTGCACACATACATGTTACACGACTTAGTACGTCGTGTAGCCTTTAAAGACCATAAAACTGAACAAAACTTTTGGTAAAAAGTCTCAGGATTCACGCTATAAAACAAAATGGATGATCCTTGAATTTTAGTGAAACATCAAAGAATCCTTTGTCGAAACATGTTCTGTCACGGGGTCTAGTGATAGAACGCAGTCAAACACGAGATTCCGATCTCACGGATAAATAAAAATCGTGTGCAGATTATCCCGCAAAAAATGCTACATTAATTGCATTTCTAAATTATTGGTCTTCCATTCATGCCGGTAATTTATTTTCAATGATTTTATCATACAAAAAAAAATAATAATATTCACATTTCTTCAAATAAATTTTATTTTTTTTTATGTTTGTTTTTAATTTTAAATAAATAATAAAATGAGAATAAATATAAATTACAAAGAATCGCTTATTAATTAAAAAAAACCCCCCATTATTAATACTAAATATTATGAATACTTTTAAAACTTAATTAAAGAATCGGCTTACTAAAATTGCTTTTATATTTGTTTGTGTGATTTTATATTTCAAGCAATTACTGCGCTGAATGCATCAAATCCTGATACAACCATCAAACCAATAGATTACGATGATGAAAGATTTAAAGATTCAAACCCTGAAACTTATAAAGCTAAAATATTGGTACCTATCATATTAACCACCCCTTTTTTTTTTAAAAAAAAAGATGTTGCATTTACTCTTCATTAGCTCCTAAATGTTGCTCTTGAACCATATTGAAATAAATTCCATTTTTGGCTAAAAGTTCTTGATGAGTTCCTTGTTCCGCAACTTTACCATCCTTAATTACAAAGATAACGTCAGCGTGTTGGATAGTAGACAACCGATGTGCAATAGCCAAGGTGGTTCTCCCCGTTGCCGCAACATCTAATGCCTTTTGTACAACTTTTTCGGATTCGGAATCCAAGGCTGAAGTAGCTTCATCCAATAGTAAAATCTTTGGATTACGTATTAAAGCTCTTGCAATCGCAATTCTTTGTTTTTGACCTCCAGATAATTGCGATCCTTTACCACCAACGAATGTATCATATCCGTCAGGTAATGAAACAATAAAATCATGAATATTGGATTCAATACATACTCGTTCAATATCTTCTTGTGTTGCATTGTGATTTGGTTTACAACCAAGTAATATATTTTCTTTAATAGACATATCGTATAAAGATGGTTCTTGACTTACTAACGCAATATGCTCTCTTAGATTATTAACATTCATTGTAGTAATATCGATTCCATCAATTTCAATTTTTCCTCCTGTAGTTTCATAGAATCTTTCTGTTAATCCAATCGTTGTGCTTTTACCACATCCTGACGGTCCAACCAATGCCGCGTATTGACCCGGTTTTACTTCAATATTTAACCCTTTTAATACTCTTATATGCGGTCTTGTTGGATATCGAAAGTGTACATCTGTAAATTTAACATTTCCCTCGATTTCTTCTAATTTTCGTCCATTAAGAGACCATGTGTCTATTAATGGGGTTCTTTCTAATAGAGAAATAATTGTTGCGGCCGCGGATTTCCCCTTCAACATATCTGGAGCGAAGGCGAAAACACGTCCCGCAGACATGGATCCGAACATGATAGACATAAATACTAAGAAAAAAAAGTTTAAAGTGAAAAGTTAATTTTTTATTTAATATTTTGCAACAACTCAAAGTAATAAAGTTATATTTACCAACAAAAAATTTTTCTAAATTGTATTCTCCATTAGCGAACTTTTATAAAAAAAAAAAAAAAAAAAAATTAAAGAGATTGGCATAAAAATTAGGCACAAATAATTGGAAATAAATAGATTTAACTCACCAATCTACTGCCATACCAAAAGGACAAAGCATTAGTTAAGAAATTCACGCTCTACGAATAAAAAGCAATAAATAAATAAATAAATTAAGTGTTATAATTTTTAAAAAGAAGCGTAATATATAAATTTACCTGTGCGAAAGCAAATGTTATGCTAGCAAAGAAAGCGTTTTTAAATCCTTGCTTCATTGGTTCGTCTAGTAATTTATGATAAACATTCCATAAATTTTCTTCACGTGTCAAAGCAGCAACTGTTCTGATATTTCCAGCTCCTTCACAAGCTATTTGGCTTGAATGTTCATAAGATTTTTTGGTTTTCTTTTGGAAACCGTCTAACATCGTTATTCGTAACAATCCTGAACCAACTAATAAAGGAATGCAAACCAAGCAAACGAGCGTCAATTTCCAACCTAAATTCGTGAGAAAAATCAAAATATAATCTTTTAGAAACGTTCTTGAAGTTCAAAACGTATAAAAATAGATTACACTTACCAAAAATAAAAGCTATGATCAACACAGATACGAGTGTAGTGCTCACTTGTAAAATGGTGCCAAAAGTTACCCCAGCAATACCATTTACAAGTGTTGCGTCCAATGACAAAGCACTTGTTAAAGCTCCAACATTATGACTTTCATCATCGAAGAAACTAATATCTTGTCGAAGGATTGCTGCAAATGACATTGAACGAATTCGTAAAGTAAGATTTTCACCGGAAAATCCAAACGAGCTCCCTTGTACAAAGCTTGCGATCATTACTATAACCGCGATAACCACTATAAAGTATTTTATTAAATAGTACATGAGTAAATTAGTAATATGAAATAAATAATAAATAAATTGAATAAAATTTATCCTAAACCTACAAAACATCATGGACCAAAATTTTGCATCGTGTTGTAATTCATCAGCAGGTTTTGAGAAGCTTTGTATGATTTTAGAAAAAATAATAGCAAAAATCGGATATACGATTCCACAAACAATGGAAGCAAATAATCCAATAGTGATCCATGAGATTTCTGGCGAATTGATCTTTGCTACTTTTCGTATTAATTCTTTTGTAGTAAATTCATAATCAAATTTCGTTGCAGCCTCTAAATCATCTTTTCGCTTAGCCAATATTGCAGAAGATGAACTCTTATTTGTTATCACACGTCCAATTGTGTAATCTTCTTCTGGGATGATGTCTTCCTTTCTTGCCGTTAGTAATACATCCGAATCTTCTGGAGGTAATGAACCATTTGCTGCTTCAACTTTTTTTGCTTGTTGAATTTGCTGTGCCTCAACTAATCTATAATAATTTCCTTTTTTAGACATCAATTCGTCATGCGTTCCGATTTCCACTATAACGCCGTGATTCATCACAACAATCTTTGTAGCATTTTTAATAGTGGAAAGACGATGAGCTATAACAATTGTAGTTCTATTTTTTGAAGCTTTGTCCAAAGCATCTTGTACAATTCCTTCACTTTGAGTATCCAATGCACTTGTAGCTTCATCCAATAGTAAAATTTTTGGATCTTTTATAACAGCTCTAGCAATCGCAATACGTTGTTTCTGACCTCCGGATAATAAAAATCCTCGTTCACCTACATTAGTTTCATATTTATTTGGTAAATTAATAATAAAGTCATGTGCATTAGCCATTCTACATGCTTGTTCTATCATTATTTGTTTCTTATTTCCTTCAATGTTTTCGTAAATTGAACCAATTAATCCGTGAGCCACATTTTCTGCAATCGTGTTATTAAATAACACAGGTTCTTGTCCTACTAAACTCATTTGTCTTCTCAACCATATTAGATTCAGGTCTTTAATATTATGTCCATCCAGATGTACTTCTCCTTCAACAGGATCATAAAAACGAAGAACAAGAGAAACAATCGTACCTAAAAAGAAAAAAAAGGAATTTGTTATATTTAAGACAATTTGAAATAAATATATTATATAACATATAATTACTTTTGCCGGAACCGGAAAAACCAACGAGAGCTACGGTGGAACCAGATTCAATATCTAAAGACAATTTTTTTAATGTCACCACTTCAGGTCGGGCGGGATAAATAAAAGAGATGTTCTTTAATTGGATTCGGCCTTCAACGTTATCTAATTTCTCACCGGATTCAGATGCGATATCTGGAAAAAAAATATAATTTATTAATTAACAAGATTCATTAAATTTATATAAAAGCTGAATGACCACGAACCTATGGGTGGTATTCTGTTTATAGTTTCAAATATTTTGCTACCTGCACCAGTAGCGAAGCTGAATGCTTGTAATTCTGGTGCAACATTTGCTAAATATTATAAATTCATTATTGTTAGTTATTACGTTGACATAACAAATTGAATGAGAATTTAATGATGTATTTTGAAACAAAACCTAATGCGAAAGCTCCTATAAGTACCGCAAAGAATACGTTGACGACCTGTGGCACAGCAAAAAGGAAATTAGTATCGCGAAATTTTCGAAATTTATAATACATTTAATATGGTAATACTTACAATCCCAGATGTTAACTCTCCACTCAAGATAAGAGTACTTCCGTACCAAAAAGCAAGAGCATAAGTTGAATATATGAAAAAATATACGATTCCAAGACCCGCTCCGTTTAAAATGCTCCTCTTGATGCCCTCTTTCTTCGCCAAAGTCAAATTTGAATCATATAGTTTCGAAAGCTTCGACTGAATTCCAAAGGCAACGGCCGTACGAATTGTTGATATGGCTTCTTCGGCGATAGTACCTATTTTATATTCCGATTAACAATTTTAAATTTTTCTAGATTCGAGTTTCCGTAAAACATGAACTGTACCTGATTTAGAATAATATCCTAAAGAACGTTTCATATATTTTGCAGTGAATTTATTTAATATTGCAGTCGTTATGGACAACAATGGGATTACAACACATATTACTAAAGTCATTTTCCATGATTTTGTAAATGCTATAACGAAGGCTGATACAAATTGAGCAACATACTATAACATAAAAAAACAATTATAAAGATTTAAAGTTTATCCAGTACCTCAAAAGAATTTTTTAAATTGATATACATACCGAGAAAGCTATTGACACCTTCTCGCTGATTCCATCTTGAATTAAATGTGTATCAGACGTAATTCGAGTTGTCACTTCACCAGCACCTAATTTATCGAAATACGCAATATTCTGCCTTAAAACTGCTCGCAAATATCTTTCTCGAATTTGACGCGTTAACCTTTCACCAGTGTATACCCAAGCAGCCATGTAGATATAAGTAGCGAAAAATACGATTATAGCAAAATATACAAAAAATAATGCATTGCGGTTTACTTCATTAATAAAAAAACTTTTTTCGATTTTTCCTGTCTGATATTCTGCGAAATAGTCAATCATTTTTCCGAATATGATTGTTGTCGCTGGCTAAAAAGTTAGAAAATTAATAAATACAATACATATAATATTATATAATAAATCTTTTAAGTTCAATAACCAAAATTCTTACGATAGTGGCACCGGCAATACCGGAAAAGACAATCCCAATAGCCATTATAATCCAATCAATTGAACTGGCAAAACTATATAATTGCCAATATGAAACTTTTGTTTGTTCAATTTTCACTTGATCATTTAATATTGCATCGAAATTTGTGCCCGAGACGACTTGTTCATCAATGAAATCGACCGTTGTCGATTCATTAATTGGTTTTTTTATTTCTTCAGACATTTAAAATTTATTTATTATAATTTACGAAAAAATTTTCTATTTTAAAAAAAAAGAAGAAAAATTTTTCAAAAAAAAAAGGTGCGGAAACAAGGTCTTTTTTATACACAATTATTGTTATTGTTTTGAAGGAAGAATAATTTTGCCGTATGAATGCTATTCGGAGATTAACATAAGGTTAAGGATATATCATTTTTGCGATACTCGGAGAATGGATATAAATTCATGACGGAATTTCCGATGAAATTTTTTTTTCGGTGGGCGAAAACATTAGCCAATCGGAAATTTTTAATCTAATTAATCCATTCATAAACTGATTCTAAAGAATGCCAAGAAATAATTTTTTTTTTGTTTTAAGTCCACAAAAACAATTTTATTATTATCATCATATATATCATCATCATTCATTATTTATTATGGTAGCACGATGGTTCCGCTGATACGACCGTTAATGGAATAACCCCAGATTATCCATTTTTGTAATAAAACCCTACATTTGGCGGTTCTACAATTATTATTAATTCGGGTCCATTGACAAATCAAATTTCTGGAAAAAAAAAAAAACGTTTTGAAAAAGGTTTCCTAAAATCAACTGGGATTTCTAAAATCAGGTTACTTGTTATCTTTAAAAATCAATTATTTTAGAATTACTACCTTTTATATAGTATTTTATATAAATGAAATTCCCAATTTCTTAGTTAAGTTCATTATCGGCTTCTGGCAAATACATTATCCGAATCATTATATAATCAAAAATATAAGATATCTGTACATTCATTAAATTTTCAACCTTTTCCCATGCATTTTTTTTAACATATTAAAGAATGACAAATTATAATCATTATAATACTATTATTTGATAAAAATGAATTAATAAATTTAAAAAAATTTTTGTAATAGTATATATTTGTTTGTCAAATAACAAAAAAAAAATCTCGAATATCTCGGAAAGTATTTTTGGTAAGTTCCTTTTTTGGTCTAATTTTTCGTCATTTTTTTTATTTGCAACTTATAATGTTGCAACATTTTGTAAATTTGAAATCAATTGCTGTACCATCTTTAATCATTTTTTTAGGTGCGAATCTTTCGTTATTTGTATAATTAACAATTTTATATTTTCAAAATGGAAAAAAAATTTAATTATATTTATATTGTAAAAAAATTCTTTATTTATAAAAAATTTAGTTTGAAGTAAATGGATGGGAATTTCTTTTTTAATTAAACAAATGAAAAAAAAAATGGAATTTTAATGAATTTCAAACAGAAATAAATCCTAAAAATCCTAATCCAAAGGTTATAATTATCCTCCGGTATAATTTTATTAAATTTTTACTTAATAGAATTTTTCATTTATTCTAAAATAAATTCTATTTGGAAAATATTATTGAATATTTTTTTAACTTAAAAATAACTACAAAATTTTAATTTATTACTATTCCAGTAAGTGTATTTTTATATTCATTATTCTAATATTAACTGTATTTAAATTACATCCTTCTAAAATATAAACTAAGTAAATTAAAACTTATTAAAGTTTCCAATGAATTATAAATTATTTTATATTCATCTATAAAAATAAACTTAAAAGTAAATCAGAAAAAGATTAAATGTAGTATATGAGTACCTCTAACATATATAAAACAATTCATAATTTAGTTTCACTAATAAAGAAAGAACTTAAAAATTAGTTTTTTGTGATTTTTTCAATATTTACTGGTCTAATTTAGCTGATTATTTTTTTAAAATATAGCTCTTAATAAGCTCTATCAAGCAAAAAAAGCTTCATATAATCACAAAAAACTAAGAGTAAAAAGTATTAATTTTGGAAAAATTCTTTATGAATTATTTTAGAGATATTTAAGATCCTAATAAATGTGAAATATAATCAATATTCCAATTCTTCTTTTAGCTTATTGAGTATTCTGATAATGAAAAAATATATAAAAAATAAAATAATAATGTATCTATTTATAAATAATATATGTATTACAAATCAAGTAATTATATAAATTAATTTATTTTCATACTTCTTATTCAGTATATTTTTAAAATTTTTACATATATTATCATTAAAAAGGTATCTTAATTGATCTTTTATATATTATTACTAGAAATAGTTCTTATTACACATATTCTGCTAAGTTACTTTACTATAGCAAGTATTATGACAAAAAAAGGATTCTAGGACAAAATTTCAAATAGTGTTCAGTAAGTTTCCTGATCACATACGAATCAATTTTAGCTATATGAATCAATTATCAAATTTAAACCTCTAGCGCAATTTGACTCAAATCTAGATGATGATATCAAACTTAGCTAGGAATTAGCCTGTCTGAAACCAAGAACTACACTGTTTGATATAACCATTCTAGCCTGATTTTAATCCTAAATAATATATAAAAAAAATTTTACTATTCTATTTGCCTTAGAAAAGACCATCAAAAATCAAGAAACAAAGTGATACAATTTGAGCTAGACCTAATATTGCAAACCCAATATGAATAATAACTTTTATGCTATTCTGCTTGCCTCTGAAGAGGCTATCGAAAATTAAGGAACAAAGTGACATAATTTGAGCTAAGCCTGATCATGCAAGCCTAAAATGCATATCATATGCTAAGTCTTACCACTTCTAAATTACACCTCTAAAGGATAATAAATTTGTAAACCAAAAGTTTATTGAGCATGTTCTAACATAATAATAATTTCTCAATATACAAAAAACCTTTCAAAATTATTTTCTTTACAAAAATCCTAGAACAAAAAAATTAAACCTTTAAGGTATATATGCTAAGTCTCACCTCTAAGTCTCACCTTTTATCAAGTCTAATTTCTGTGCCTTGTTTCATAATTTATTATAATATTACATCACATAGTATCTTCTAATATATTAGCATACCGCTCACAAGCTGTAGCAGTAGGTTTATCATTTCTAGTCTTTTAATATTGTTGACATCCTTCAAGTCTAATACAGGCTTTACCACAAATCTTGTCAGAGTTATGAAAATAGTTGCAAGTATAAGGTATCATCATTTACAATAGGGATGAAAAAATTTAATTAAACAAAATTATCTGCAATATAGAAAGTGAACAGTAGATATCTTTATACATTATGAATACACAAATTCAATTATCTGAAGCAAAGCCAACCTCCTAGAAAATTGAGTAAGCATTAATAAATGTAATCAAAGCAGAAATATATTATAGAAAGCCAAAGGATAGCAAATTCATGCAAAGCTATAAAGAGTAGATAAAAAATTACGCTAGACAGAAGATTCTGATATATATATTCTAGAAAATGCATAAAGATTATTTTCAGATAAGGATAAATATCATAGTATTATAAATAATTATAAATCTTGGTATAGAAAAGATCCAAAAATTCTTAATGCTGTAATAAATCTATATAAATTATACTTTAAATTAGCCAAAGATCATTTCTTTACTAAAACACAAGTTGATGAAGAGACAGAAGATTTTCTTAATTACTAAGTACCTATTGAGGTAGTAGCTGAGCTTCTTTAATAACTATCAATCATTCTCTTATAAAAGATATTTTCGGGCTATTACCTTTAACATCTTCCAGTTAGTATAAGACTGACTGATTTTTTTGTACTAAAAATTCACAGATATTATAGACTTGAAGAGACCAAATCATATTTCTAGCATGTCTTCTTTCATCTTCTAACTCATCTGGTTTAAGTAAATATCTTACAAGAACATCATAAGTTAATCGCTTCTCATCAAACCTCATAGGCTCATTTTGATGCTTAAAAGGTTTAACATAAACATGCTTCAATTTTCGTGCATTAGCAAGAGAAATACCTAGAAGATGAATCACAGAATTATCAAGATTCTCAAGAAAATTAGAAGGTTTCTAACCTAAGCTCAATAACGTTCTGATATAGGCAATCTCATATCAACAGCATCATGAATAATAAATAACCATTTTTGTAATATCATATTAAACCTTTTAACAATACCTATACTTTCTTTAAAATTATCTATTAAAATATTAATACCATATTTATTCATTAATCTAATAACATCACCCTGAAATTCAACACTCCCATCTATCATAAGATCTTTTTTAAACCAAGAAAAGAATATTTTTGGAAGTTAAAAAGTTTTTTAAGGCCTATAGCAATACTAGCAGAATTACATTAAGTTAAAGGATAGGTTCATTTTATACAAGTAGCAATATCCACACAATTAAATACAAATTTATAAATTTTATTTCCAATTTAATCATAAGGTATATAGCATAAATCAGCTTGAATAACCTTTATAGGTATAGTAATATTAATGAAAAATGCACTTAGAATATTTCTAGGATAAGGTTTATAAACCTGATGCATAGCCTATTTCTCAAGCTAATCATGCATTTCATTTAAGATAAAATCAAACCCAGCATTTAAAGAAGCTTTTATGCAATTTTTTTGCAATCCTCTGATAGCCTGAAGGCTGATAATAAATCTTTTCCAAATCAATAGATATATCTGAATTTCTAGCTTTACTCAAATCTATTTGTATAATAGGAATCAATAACATGGACCTGGCTTATATTGAAATTTTTAATACTAATAAAGAGTTACGCAAAGAATTAGCAGACTAAATAGTCTCAAATGATATTCCAATAAAAAGCTTAAGACTCTTAATAATGAGTTAGATGCATGCTACAAAACTATATCTCAGCAAGATTCTACAATCTTAGCTCACGAAAATGAGATAGCATCTCTTAAGACAGAGATAAAATCTCTTAAATAGTATCTTTAAAAAGTATTGCAGGATTTATGACATAAAGGTAATGCTAGTATTGTTCAAGA